TATTATGTTATTTTTTCCAAATCATGCAATTTCTTTTCATATGCATCTCTTTGCTACGATGATAATAACTGAATTTTTCTTTTAACTCTGATTTACCTCTAGATTTATAGCAGCCCTTAGAACCTCTACTTTTATTTTTTACTATACTCGTTGTTGTTGTAACAAGTGCCTATAAAGTCTTAATGCCCATATATTTTTTTATAATCTCTTTATTGTATAGACTATTTATTATCATAAGTAAAGACAAAATATCATTTGGAGCATAATTGCTAAGAGGCACTATCAAGGTTTCCTAATTGTCTGACAAAGAACTTAAGAACAATAACACTTGTAATTCATCATTTAAAGTCATTTTCATTGTGTTCAACTCATTTACCAACTCTTGAAATTTACTCAAGTATTCTATAATTGATTGTCCTTCTCTCATCTTCAAATTGATAAGTTCTCTAATGACGAAAGTTTTATTCTGAGCATTTTTCCTCTCATACATTTTTTTCCAATTTATTCCACAAAACTTATTCATTCACTTCTTTATTTATATAATGATAGACACTATTATCTACCCATTGTTGGATAGTTCCTACAATATGTATTTTCTCCTAGCCATCATATGATATTCTCATTGGCTTAGCAGTTTCTGACTTAATAGGATCATATAAATCCTTACAATAAAGAAGATCATCTATCTTTACTTCCAAATTGAATAATTTGAAGAAAATAATTTTATCATTATACCAGTAAATTCTTCTATTTTAATTCACATAATTAATTACATATCATAAATCAATAAACAAACCAATTAACCTTGTTTTGATACAACTTGTTAGATCTTCTAAAAAAAATCTAATCTACTTGTGTAGATTAAGGTAATCACCAAAATTAATTCAGATAATCCAATTAACAAATCCAAGCCAATTAATTTCTAAATCAATACCAATACAAACAAAGGAATAATCACAAAAATAAAAGGACACAAAATTTATGTGAAAAATCCTCAAGTGTTGAGGAAAAAACTACAGAACGAATTCCAAATCGAATCCACTATCACAAAAATCAATTATATAATCTTTTAGAGAAATACACAAATTCTTCTTTAACCAAACTTAATTTCTCTTGAATGATCACACTAAGATAATTAGAGAAAATAATTCTCCAAAAATTGATTAAAAAATAACAAAAAAACATATCTATTTTTATCAACAATCCATATCTTGATTTCTATACATGTAACCAAACAAAACTTTCCTTTTTTGCCTTCCTCGGTACCCATGCACAAAGAAGAAATAATTCATTTTCCTTTTTGCTTTTTTTTCTCTTTTTTGAAAAAAAAAACCTCTCTCTTTTTCAATCTGCATACATGAAAGAGAGAGAACCAATTTTTTTTTCTTTTTAATGCTGGTATATCGCTCTTTTGTCTTCAATTTGCATGCATCATATATATGTGTGTGTGTGTGGAAGAATAAACCGTTCTCCCTCAAGAACTAGCAACCTTATTTTTTTTCCTTTTTTATTTTGTATATTTATTAATATCATGTGGATTGGACACAATAATCAACTTTTAGGATAACATATGACCATGTCTTTCATTAACACCCCAATAGAAGCTCCTAATTTATTGGTTGGCCTTTTTCATAATTGATTGAGGTGGCCTAAAAATTTGCATAATATAAATGTATTCGGCTACCAATATTTGGTGAATTGAAATAGCTCTATTCTCATGTGAGGGGATCGTTCTTTTCTAATTTTAGAGTTTAGATTTAAGGTTATCAAATATGTGAAAAGTTTTATGATTTTTCTATTAGTAGCGATGGAGATACTTAAATGTTTACTATGACTAGAAAAAATGGACAATTTAGATATAACTCTAAATTATTATTGTAGAGGATGAGGGATGTTGGGACCGAGTAGGATATAAGGTTTATGGTGGTTTAGGGATTGTCTAAACTAGATATTAATAAGACTTTTGTAAATATCTTCATAGGTCATTAGGGGTTATTTTACCAAAAGATTATAAGATCATCTACAAATAAGAGACAAATGATGAAGGGGGAGGGGAACAACTATGGCCATAAACAGTGTGTTGGCTTTCAGCTTGGCTTAACATTCTAAAAAGTACATAAGCACCTAGGATAAAGAAGTATGGTGATAAGTAGTATCTCTATCTCATTTCCAGTTAGGGTGGATTGCCTTTGATATGTGTTCCATTGATAATAAATTAATATATGACTATATGATATGATATTAGATAACCCAAATTTGGTGTTAATGAT